AGACCACACTGCATCATCTTAGATTTGGCCAACGTAGGAAAATACCATGTTTTAACTGCCCGTGCCTTGAACGGCAGAAGCCCCAAAAGAGGCTGGCACATGTGTCCTCAACAAACCACAACGGCATGTGAGAAGGAGAGCTGAGGCCTATCATGAACTTGGGGCCACTCTCATGCTGGCAGCGGAAGAAGGTTCTGGAAACACTTGGTGGGTAAAATCAGGAGGATGTGGAGTTGGTGAGACATGAAGGAAGTGGGGAGAGTCATGGACGGGTCTCAGGCCTCCCTGGGTCCCACCTCGTGATGTGCTGACTGTGGAACTGGGGACACAGAGCCACGGGGACAACCACAGGCCAGGCGTCCACGGGCCGGGATTGGGCCTCAGGGCAGCAGAGTGACCAGCGTGGCAGCACTTACAGCTCACGGCCCGGCCCATGCCTGACCACATGCCACACCGCCTTTGGGTCTGAAGCTTGGGGGAGGACCCACCAGAGAGAGCTGAAACCAAGCCGAGGGGCAGCTGCCCCCAGCTGGCCCTCCATCTGGTTCCCTTGTTCCTACCGACAAGGCAGGAGCGCTGTGTCCACCTGGCTATCGCCTGTCCCCACTCTCTCCCTCCTGCTGGGCCTCCTGCCACGCCTACTGCCACCACGAGACAAGGAGTTCACAAAATCAGTCTTCTTGGGTTCCTCTGAAAGCACGCGTCCTCTGCTTCCCGACCTGAGGACAGGGTCATTACCCTGCCAGCACTGTCTGCATGAGTGCAGCCACTCTCCTCGGAACAGAAGACTTTCAGTCACTGCCGTCACAAAGTGGACTCATCAGGCTCCCAGCGGAGTGTCAGGACCTCACCAGGAGAGCAAGAGAAGGAAAGTCACGGTTCTGGATCGTACAGGATGTCCTGTAAGGCTACCTGGCCCCACCCTGCGACCCCAACCCTGGAGTCTCACGGTGCCACTGAGCACGAGGTTTCACCTCCTCGGTCGGCAGCAACGCAGGATCCCACATCCACCGAGAACGTGCATCTCCAACGCTGGGACTGCGGCACGGACCCAGTCCGAGTCAGGCAGAAGCTGAGAGGCTCCCACGTGAGAGAAGGGAGAGACAGAGGGTCCACTGCACGCATGCGCAAAGCTGGGCGGATGTGGTGCCACTGCCACATGACCCCAGTGCAGGGCTGTACCTGCCCAGTGCCTCCTGCCCCATGGGGGCTTCCTGTCCCCGCCGCGGGACGCCACCCAGACAAGACTTGAAAGACGTTCCATCAACGGTGTCCATTATCCGAGCATCTCATCGCAAACAAAGATTCTTTTCTCTCAACTTAAAATAAACAGGACGTGAAAGGAACCGACTGTGATTAACTCTCATTTTGGGGTATCAAGAAAAAGAAAGCCTGTTTCCATTCAAGGGGTCCTCACCCTCAGTACGTTTTCAGTGTCACACTAACAATCCAAACACTATTATCCATCAGGGAAACTGAGTCAGGGCTGAGCTGAGAACACCTTTGAGGTAGAGGGGCCTGGATCATGCTCTCCACCTCAGCGGGTACTCACGTGATCTGCCCCATGGCCCCCACGGCTATGCCAAAATGAGCAGCGCGCGCTGCAGCCGTGACGTGGACGTTTGGCATCAGGAACACGGTAAATACACCACTGGTCTCCACTGACAGTGTTTGTTTTTTTTTACACTTTTCACTTAAAACATCTCATGCATCATTTCTGAGAAGATATGGTTTTATTTCATTTTGCTTTAGCAGGCTTAAATTAATACAAATCACATTTTTTAACATTCCCCAGGGGAGGGGAGCAGAATCTCTTTTCCAATGAAAAAACACAAAACTATTTTTGGCCACACAGACTGGTTTTCAAAAATTTAAACGTGGGCTTAATCTTTCCTGAACAGTGTATTCTAGACATACTGGGAAATACTTTTTAAAGTAAAACTTCAAGGCGATATGATTTCTCCTGGTTGCTAGGCACGGTAAGGGTGGCCCCAGCCACACGTACAGGCGGAGCGCGTCACCTCTTGCTCTCTGTAACTCAACTGTTATCCTGGGACGGAGGTACCTAGAACTCCCCCTCCTCTGGCGTGGACTAAAATCACTTGTCTCAAGAAACAGCAGCCTCTTAGACATCACAGAGAAACCCAGCCAGAGTCCTCCTGTGCTGGCTGACGTCTACTGACCAGGAGAGCCTGGAGGCGGCAGTGACCGCCTGTGGCCGGCATGGGGTCAGACGCCCCGAGGTGGCAGCACCCCATGAATTACATGTGGGAAGGAGCAGGTGGGAGTGAAGGAAGCCTCAGTCACCTCACAGCTGCCTGATGAGCGCGAGGCCTGCAGGGCAGCCCCTGAGATGGTGGACGGCGTGAGGCTTGGCCACAGCACACTCCACCTGACCGTGCCCTGGCCCTACCTCCACCTCACCACCCTACTCTTTAGGAAAAGAAAATGTGATAAATCAAATTTAAAATAACCTCTCTCTAGGAAACCAACCAACCAACAACAGGTTGTCTCCTGTGCCCGTGTACACACCTAATGCAGACGCACCCACGGGTGAGGAAGCTGCTGCCTGGCCCTTGGGCTCTCCTTCCCACACGCAGCTCACGCCACGACTCAGCGGTGCCCAAGTTTCCCTGAGACCCTTCGGAAACTCGGGCCTTCTGACCAACACGGTGCATGCTCGTCAGCAGTAGCACACTGACACGAGGGTGCGGGCACCAGCAGAGTGCAGGGGGTTTCGGGGTGACGGAGACGCAAGTCTTCTTTTCTGCCGAGTGGATCGAGGGAAGTGTCACCATACCCACTGGCCCAGTCCCAGGACTAATCGGCCAGTCCCAGCACCAACTGGCTCAGTCCTAGCACTAAGCGGCCCACTCCCAGCACCAAGCAGCGCAGGCCCAGCACCAGCCAGCCCAGGCCCAGCACCAAGCGGCCCAGGCCCAGCACCAATTGGCTCAGGCCTAGCACCAAGCGGCCCACTCCCAGCACCAAGCAGCCCAGGCCCAGCACCAAGCGGCCCAGGCCCAGCACCAGCCAGCCCAGTTCCAGCACTAAGCGGGCCAGTCCCAGCACTAAGTGGCCCTCCCACAGCAGGAGGAGGCCGGCAAGAGCCATGGCCACACTCCCAATCAAAGCCGGCAGGCATGTGCACACAGGACCACGGGACCAGGAGACCAGGGGGCAGGCAACAGGAGCTGAGAAGGGACCCCAGACGGTGTCCCACCCACAGCCACAGCCATGGACCACTTGAAACAAACCAGCAGGGTGGAGCTGAAGGTCAGCCCAGGAACCAGACCAAGACTGCCTGGGTTAAAGCTGTCTCGGAGGCGTGGCTGTCGTGACCCAGGCCTGGGCGAGCCCCTCCACCTGGGGCCAGCTCCGCAGACAGTCAGACCAAAGACAAAAGCCTCTCTCCCAGGGACAGATGGGCCCCGCGGGGACATCACCACAGCAGATGCTTTTGCACGTCTACACGACCCCCTCACGTCTACACAGACCACCACGCGTCTACACGGACCCCTGCATGTCTACCTGGACCCCCGCACGCCTAGACGACCCCCGCACACCTACACAGATCCCCACGTGTCTACACAGACACCGATCCCTACATCTGCTTCTTGCATGTCTACACAGATCCCCACCGATCTACACAGATCCTGACGCTCCACGTCTACTTCCTGTATGTCTACACAGACCCCCACACGTCTACACAGATCTCCACCCATCTACACAGACACTGATCTCCATGTCTGCTTCCTGCACATCTACACAGATCCCCACCAATCTACACAGATCTTGACGCTCCATGTCTACTTCCTGCACATCTACACAGACCCCCGCATGTCTACACAGATCCCCACCCGTCTACACAGACACCAACCCCCATGTGTGCTTCCTGCACGTCTACA